TCAAAGAGCTTCCCCAGGACCGAGGTAAGGCTAACAGGCCTATAATTTCCTGGGTCCTCCTTCCTCCCTTTTTTGAAAATGGGAACTACATTGGCCCTTTTACAGTCCTCTGGCACCTTGTCAGAGCGCCACGAGTGCTCGTAAAGCCATGCCAGGGGTCCTGCAATGACCTCTGCTAATTCCCTCAGCACTCAGGGGTGGAGATCGTCAGGACCAGCTGATTTGAACACGTCCAGTCTCTCCAGAAGTTCCCTGACTAGGTCCTATCTGACCCTGGGCCTGGCTGTGCCTCCCCTGGGACCATCGGGGATCCCAGTGTGGGGGATGACCTGGTCCCTGCTCAGAAAAATGGAGGCAAAGAAATTGTTAAATAGGTTAGCTTTGTCGTCTGTTAAGACTGCCAGATTTCCAAGCGTGTCCTGCAGAGGCCCTGCATTACCCGGTACCTTCTTTTTACCCCCTGGGTATTTAAAAAAAGGATTTCTTGTTATCCTTGATCTGGGTTGCTAATCCCAGTTCCATCTCTGCCTTGGCCTTCCTAACAGTCCCCTTACAATCCTGAGCAACGGAGGTATAGTCCTCCCTGGTGATGGCTCCTCCCTGGTGATGACAGAGTGTATGTGCTGGCATTTTGAAACCATCCCAAGCACACCCAGTTGCAACCTCCTCCACCCCATGGGGCTCACAGAGAGTGGCAGCGCAGCTCAGGTCACTGAACCAGGCCCATTGTCTGGGAGTAAGGGGGGATTTTCTCTGCCATCCCCAGGACTTGCTTCACTCTTGGCTTTGCTTGTCTCATGCAGGGATTCTGAAGAATCGCCTCCAGTACCCTCCAGCTCTGCAGGGCTTGTCCTCCGTGGGCAGAATGACCAATGAGCTCTCTTGGTACAAAACGTCCACGTTGGGTCACCGGGCTGTTCCCGCTGCTTCCTATGGCAGGATCTACTCAGGGGCAGGCAGCCTCTCCCAGCCGGCTAGTCGGTACTCTTCCCGGGAGCAGCTCGACATGCTGATGAGAAGGCAGATGTCCAGAGAGCAGCTGAGCAGGAACAACTCGGGGGAGCGTTTGGAAGCTGTCCCCAGCAGGCATGGCTCCAGGGAGCAGCTGGACACCATCCCTAGTAGGCATGGGTCTAGAGAACACCTGGAAAATCTACCCAGCAGGCATGGGTCTAGAGGGGACTTAGACACCTTAGCTACCAGGCATGATCAAAGTGATCATGGGAACACACTTCCCAGGAGGCAGGGGTCTAGAGACCACCTAGATATGGTACCCAGTAGGTTTGGGTCGAGAGAACAACTAGACTGTGGGCCAGTAAGAGAAGTCTCTAGAGAGTGGCTAAATACGTTACCTAGTAGGCAAATTTCTAGAGATCGAATGGACACTTTGCCAAGTCGAGAGACATCTCGGGAACAGTTGGATCTGCTTTCTCGAAGACGACCTTCAAGGGACCAGCTTGCATCAGCTAGACAACCTTCAAGAGAGCAGCTGGACTTTTTATCCAGAAGATCTACTTCCAGGGAGCATCTGGATACAGTGCCCAGTAGGCATCCATCATGGGAAAATTTAGAGCCTTTGTCTAGAAGACAGCCCTCCCAAGAGAACCTAGAACCTCTGTCTAGGAGGCAGCCTTCTAGAGAGAATCTGGAAGCAGCTGCCAGCCAACACCCTTCCACGGAGCAATTAGACATCCTTTCTTCCATTCTTGCTTCATTTAATTCCTCTGTCCTGTCCTCCATGCAATCTTCCAGCACTCCCTCTGGCCCACAGACCACGGCAACTCCTTCTGCAGTGCAGACCTCCTCAACACCTTCTGTGCCGTGCCCTTCCACGCCTCGCTCTGCAACCTCCCACAGTATCTCTGAGCTGTCGCCAGATTCAGAGTAAGTGTTGCCTTTTCCCAGAGGCAGTGTTCAGGTCAGTCCAGTCTATGCCGTATCTTGGCCAATGGGTAACCTTAACCTCCAGCCACTTTGGCGCTCCTTCTGCCCCTGTTATGTTTGGTATGGGAAACATGAGCATTGCTACCAGGCTTCTGGCTGGCCTGAGGTATAGGGTCTGAAAGTGCCTAATACCTGTGGGTGGGTGGGGAGCTGCTCTGGGGCTGGGGCTGGGG